CTTTCCCTCTAGCCCTCTTCCTGTCTCCCTTTTCTCTTTCCTCTTACTCTCCCTCATGTTTGATCCTTTTTCCCTCCTTGTCTTTATTGCCTTCTCTTCCTTTTTCCTCATTCCCAATCTTCACACTTTTTCTCTGCACATTCTCTTTTCTTTCTCTCTGTTTCTTTCTCCTTCAGAATTCTTTTCTTCCCCAATCCTGACTTTTGTTACTCATTTTGCCCCAGTTAAGTTTTTCCTTTTTCTCCCAGTTTCTTCATCACTCACTTGCCATTTCCAGTTTCTGTCCCTGAGACTGTTTCAATAACAGTGTTCTCCTCAGTATCAGTCCGGGGCCTGGCAAGAACAGTTGGCATAGTCTAGCAGGGTAATCAAGAGTCTGACAAAGGTGTTTGGTACAAAGGTCTGGGCAGGGTTCGTGGAAACAGCAATGGATAGGGAAACACCTCAGCACTGAGATTGTGCTTTACCACTCCTAGGACAAGGGATGGAGGAGGGAACAAACACTAGACTGAAAAATGGATTCCCCCAGCTCCCTCCCTGCTATGCAGATAGTGAGGACATTCCTATTAGGAATCCAGTCACTGTCCACATAGCAGGAGGGAGCTGGGGGATAAATACCAGCACTGCACTCTCCTCCATGCCTGCAAACTCCTCTTGGAACGCTCCTTAACAAAATAAACCTGAAGACAGATATCAAGGAAATCCAGTTTCTTCAGTTATGCTCTCATACCACATTATCTTCCAAGGTAACCCCAACCCTAGTTTTTTCCCTGGGAGCTTCTGGGAAACAGAGTAGGCTGGAGAACAGTGGAGAATGGATCTTATGGGGCAATAGAAGATATTAGCTATGACTTTACAGGACCAAGAAGGTCAGACATTCTGGGGAAGTTGGAGGTGGCCTTCTTTTTAACAACCAGTGGAGTGTATAACATGCCACTTTCCAGAGCTGAAGGACTTCCTGTTGAGTCTTTGTCCTTCTGTTCTCTGACTGTGAACAGTTGGATCAGTTCTTAAGATTTCTGATATTTGATCTCTACCTGTACTCTGCAGGTGTGGAAGCGTTCTGGAGCATGGTTTTTCAAAGGCTTCCCCAAACAGGTCCTCCCACAACCTATGCCTATAAAGAAGACCAAGCCTCAACAGCCTGTCAGCGAGCCTGCTGCCCCTGAGCAGCCCACCCCTGAGCCTAAACAGACAGCCAGGGCTCCAGCTAGAGGTAGGAAAAACAAATTCTTTTTTCAGGACCAAGGACAGGTCTCGACTAACTGGTCTACCTGAAAGGTGTCCTGACACCATGTCTGTGTTTCTACCGCATTGGTGGCCAGTCAACCTCTAAACTTGGGTGTGGAACTTCTATGTCTTCTTCAAAGCTCACCATACACCCTTACAAGAGGGAAGCATGGGGGACCAGCAGGTGGTATGGTGGTGAAGGTACTGGATACCACAGAGCTGACTCTGTAGTTCAAGTCCCAGACCCAATGACTTGAAAATCACACCAGGTGCATATAAATGCATGCTTAAAATCCCAAGAAGAGAATGGAGGATGAGGGACGGCAGCATGGCCGTTCCCCCCGGGCGGGGGGGGGGGGGGGCGGTGATTTCACACTTTCCTTCTCTCTGTGTCACTTTCTGTGACTCTTTGGTGAGTGTACATGCCTTATAGCAAAAAACCTTTAAAAGTTGGAGGATGTAGCATGGGAAACTCTCCAACAATGCCAAGAGTGTTTTGTTGTTATCTCTAAACCCCCAAATATTTAGAGGTACAACAGAGGTAGAAATTAGAATTAGAAACTAAGGGAGAGTCCCACCACACAAATACACACTGAAATCTGAGAAGGCTTGCGGCTAGCCAAGTTCTTCCTATCCCTTGAAATTTTCTTCTATCAGCCATAAGCCAATGTAAAATTAGATTAATTAAAAGTGAAAGATGAATAGAGAGGAAATTAGTAGAAGAAAATTACTACTGCTGTGGATGTTATCACTGTTATCCAAGTATAATCATTAATTATTAAAGTGAGGATTAAAAGGGAGTGGCAACACAGTAAAAAGAAAAAAAAAACTCATTAAAACAAACCACAATAAAAACACATTTTAATTGGATTAGACCACTAGGACTGACTACAGAAAGCCTTTGCAATAATTTCAAGTAAAGCTAAGCAACAAAATCTGGTCTGAATGAATAAATTCCAGGGTTCAGTTCAGACAGAGTTTCTAAAAGGAAAGTTGCAGTTAGAGGTCTCAAAACTCAAAGTCTCAGGTTGGCCCCCTAGCCTACTTGTGAAGGGAGCCAGATCCCACATGACTAACCATGGTTCAAATCCTGGCTCTGGCAGCTAAAAATAAAATTAAATTTAAAAAAGCATGCACTGTGTGCATGTATGTGTGCACACAAAATCCTGACAGGAGGGAGGAATGGAGGAGAAGGGATTATGGTGTGATCATGCCCCATTGTGTGCATGCTTCCTTTCTTTCCCTCTCTCTTTCTGTCTCTCTCTCAAGTGCATGCAGCCTGTGGTAATTAAAAAATAATTGAAGTGTCAAAGTATGTCTCTCATAAGATGGCTTTTCAAGGTACCTGGCACAGTGTCTCGCACCCAACAAATATTTGGTAAATACTTTTCTTCTAACAAGGCATAGGCAGTTTCTATTTCTTGCAGAGAATCCCATTGTCAACATACATTGCATCCCTGAGGAGTCCCCAGTTTCGTATGAGAGCATCCTTTTTCCTGGATTAGCAGTTCTCCCTCTAGGTCAAGAAAGCTGTATGGGAACCAGCAGTTAGCGTAATGGCTATGTCGCTGGACTCCCACGTAGTCGACCACGGTTCGCGTCCTGGACCCGGTAGCTTAAAACTCACGCCGGGCGCGTGTGCGTGTGTGCCCAAGATCCCGAGAGGAGAATGGAGCAGAAGGGATTGCGGCGTGACCATCCCCCCTGGGGGGTGATTTCTCGCTTTCTGTCTCTATGTCTCTCTCTGTCTGTCTGGCGAGCGCACGCGCCCTATAGCGAAAATCTCTCTCAAAAAAAAAAAGAAAGCTGTATAGCACAACAGTTCTGTTCTTTTTAAGTCAAAGTGTGTTCAGACATGTTTGTGCATGCAAAGGAAATAGTGTGGAATTGTAAACAGAAGATAGATCAGAGGGGAGGTTGGAGAGGAGATTTAGTTTTTTTTTTTTTTTTTGGAGAGATTTTCACTGTAGGGCGCGTGCGCTCGCCAGACAGACAGAGAGAGACATAGAGACAGAAAGCGAGAAATCACCCCCCAGGGGGGATGGTCACGCTGCAATCCCTTCTCCTCCATTCTCCTCTCGGGATCTTGGGCACGCACGCACATGCGCCCGGCGTGAGTTTTAAGCCACCGGGTCCGGGACGTGAACCGCGGTCGACTACGTGGGAGTCCAGCGACATAGCCATTACGCTAACTGCTGGTTCCCAGGAGATTTAGTTTTTTAAAATGTTCGTGGGAGTGTTGGATAAAGTCCTTTCTGGGCTTCCTAAGTAATAGCTCCTCAGATGTCAGAAAATCACAGCATTTCTCTCTCTTTCTAGGGGACACTGAAGACAGGAGGGGCCCAGGTCAGAAGCCAGGTGGGTTCTGCTGACTCCATCTTATACTTTGCTTTAGACATCCTTCACCCTCTCCTCTCATTGCCCTTTCTCTATTCCATTTATGCTTTTCCTTCCAGGTCCTGACGTAGCCTCTGCTCCTGGGCGAGGAAGCTATGGGCCTCCTGTGCGCAGGGCCTCCGAAGCACGAATGGGCTCATCAGGCCAGGAGTCAGAGAGCTGGGACCATGGCCAGAGTGGGGCTCCTGGAGACTCGAGCCGGAGTCCAGCAGGTAAGGGAAATCCAGATGACCCTCCTGAGTGAGGAGAATCGGAAAGAATGAGAGAGGTCATGTTTTTATTCATGTGTTCATTCAGTATTTATTGAATACATACTGTGTGACATGTTCTAGACACTAGTTCTAGCCTATGGTAGAGGAAAGACAGGTTTCAGAAACAGTTCTGGCTCCAGACATTCGTAATTGTGTTTACATCCTTTTCTCACTCTAATACCACATGTGAATTAGTTTTCTCCCTCCTCCCCCCCAAAATTTCCGCAGAACAATTCCCATTAGCTTGGAGCAAAGTAAGGATGCTTCACTCTCAAAGATCTAGCCCACTCTTCCTTCCCTTGGCAAGTGGCCTCTGCTGTCTGTGAAGATGGTGGCAGGGGTGATGGCAGGATCTCTCTGACAGGTGCTCTCAGAGGTACCCAGCACCCCTGGGCTCACAGTTGTGAGTCCCTGATCCCCAGACTTGGAGTTTTTTGTGGGTGTTTTTTTTTTTTTTTTGAGAGGTTTTATTGAATACATACTGTGTGACATGTTCTAGACACTAGTTCTAGCCTATGGTAGAGGAAAGACAGGTTTCAGAAACAGTTCTGGCTCCAGACATTCGTAATTGTGTTTACATCCTTTTCTCACTCTAATACCACATGTGAATTAGTTTTCTCCCTCCTCCCCCCCAAAATTTCCGCAGAACAATTCCCATTAGCTTGGAGCAAAGTAAGGATGCTTCACTCTCAAAGATCTAGCCCACTCTTCCTTCCCTTGGCAAGTGGCCTCTGCTGTCTGTGAAGATGGTGGCAGGGGTGATGGCAGGATCTCTCTGACAGGTGCTCTCAGAGGTACCCAGCACCCCTGGGCTCACAGTTGTGAGTCCCTGATCCCCAGACTTGGAGTTTTTTGTGGGTGTTTTTTTTTTTTTTTTTGAGAGGTTTTTGCTATAGGGTCTGTGTACTCACCAGAAAGACAGAGAGAGACAGAGAAACAGAAAGCGAGAAATCACTCCCTGGGGAAATGGACTCACTGCAATCCCTTCTCCTCCATTCTCCTCTCAGGATTTTGGGCATGCACGCACATGTGCCCAGTATGAGTTTAAGCCACTGGGTTCGGGACTCTACTAGATTGGGGATATCTATGTTCCAGAACACCTGGTGTAAGATCTCGAAGCAGCTTCATTTCTTTGTAGTCAACAACTGCACCTTGGTCTAAGTCAGAGCTGAATATGTAGGTCCCATGTTGACCTCTGACCTGTCTTCCTGAATTTGGGTTTGCAGCTTAGCACTGCCATTCCTCTTCTTATTAGCAATGGAGCCAGGCACATCCTTCATGCTCCAGCAGCTGCCCAAAAAACTCATTGCCAGGCTCTACATCACGAAGACTTCCCTTTACATGTTCTTCTAAGAGTTTTATGGTTTTAGCTCTCATGTTTTGGTCTTTGAGTTAATCTTTGCACATCAAATCTCATGCTTTTAATCCCTATATTATTTTGTCTCTTAAGGGAAAAGATAGTCATGGGGCATTGCTGAAGGGGGGTTGGATCCCCTGTACCTCAAGAGTGAATGTACACAGTCCTTGCCTCCAGCTGTTCCCCCTGGAGCTGAGTTCATTGTTCCCTCCTCCAGGTTCGCAGAGCACCAAGACAGTCCTAATGCCATGCTTATCACCACCTGAAGCATGTTCTAGCTGAACTTCTGTCCCTGGTCTCATACTGGGACATGTCTCTCCATGAATGTCGTAATTTTGTATATTTACCGAGCACCCACCACAGTTTTAGCTCTGCTTCATTTTCCAGCCTATGCTAAGATTTCCGATTGATTAAAGGTTCTCTGATGTTTGCATACTTGAATTCATAGTTAATAATATTAGCAACTCAAGTGTATGTTTAAGTTTATGTATTTCTTTCCTGGGGGGAAGAGGCTCTCCAACAGGATTTCATCACACTGAGATTCCACTCCCCTTCCTCCACCAACCTTCCAGCCAGCCAGGATCTTGGGAATGCTAGTAGGTTCCTGGCATGTTCTAGCTGACCTGGGGTTTGAACTCTGGGCCTTCCCATATGGCTTCAGTATCATGCCATGGTGGCCTACTATTTGTGCTATCACACCTGGGCCACAACTCAAGTTTGGCCCAGTACTTACTCTGCAGCGGACATGTGTTTAAACTCTTTGCATGTAATCCAAGCAATGGCTCTTTGAGGGAAGGTACTGTTAAACCACCCTCACTTAATAAATAAAGCAAAAAGAAGCAAAGAACATAAAAACAGGAATGATAAAATAAATGCCAACCCTTGACGTGTGCTAACCACATGCCAGGCACTGTTCTGGCACTCTCCCCGAGTACTATCCCTGCATCCTCACCACAGCCCTGAGACAGGTCTTGTTATCTGCATCGAACAGATAAGAAAACTGAGGCCCAGGAGGGATAGGTCACTGTGCCGGGACAGCAGGTGGAAGCAGGATCACAGAACCTGTGCTTTTATTTTTATAATTAAATTTTACATTTATCTCCACGAATGAGAGAAACAAATACAAAGAGCACCCCAGCAATCTACCCCTACCCCCAGCCAGCCCCAGGTCATAGGCACATGGCACATCCCACTCACTCGGGACATGAACCTGGAACCTTCCCTGTGGCTCAGCCTCACGAAGCATTGCATCTTCCTGCCATGCCACCATCAGGTCTCATGAGAACATGTGTGTGTGTGTGTGTGTGTGTGTGTGTGTGTGTGTGTTTTAGAGAGAGATTTTTGCCATCAGGCACGTACACTCACTGGAGAGACAGTGACAGAGAGACAGAAAGTGAGAAATCACCTCTGGGGGGATGGCCACACCACAATCCCTTTTACTCCATTTTCTTCTTGGGGTTTTGGGCACACACGCCCGGCCTGAGTTTTAAGCCTCAGGAGTCCAGCGACGTAACCATTGTGCCATCTGCTGGTCCCAGGAAACCTCTGCTTTTTAACCACCGTGCCACTGCTGCAATCTGCCCAGAGAATCTGAGTACTGAAAAGAGAGAACAGGGGACCAGCAGATGGTGTAGCAGTGACATCCCTGAACTCCCACATGGCCAACTGTGGTTCCAGTCCCAAACCCGGTGACTTGAAACTCACACTGGGCTGTGTGCATGAATGCCCAAGATCCCAGGAGGAAGATAGAGGAGGAGGTATTATAACAAGTCCCTCCCCGGGGGAGTGATTTCTTTTTCCCTCTCACTGCCTCTCTCTCTTTATGAGTGCGTGCGCCCTAAAACAGAGACCTCCCAAAAAAGAGAACACACTGAGGGGAGAAGAGGGTCCAGAGGAACTGAGGGTGTGTGTGAGGTTGGGATGGGGGCAGGGGGCTGCCTCCAGTCAAAATCCAGGTGGTCTTTTCTCTTGCTGACAGACTGGGGTGTGTGTGTGTGTGTGCGCACGTGTGTGTGTGTGTGTGTGTTTGTCAGGCATGTTGATGGTCTCCTTTCCTTCTCCTTACAGGTTTGAGACGGGCCAACTCAGTCCAGGCCTCCAGACCCACCCCAGCCCCGCAGAGTCCAGCAGCTCCTCAGCCTGGGCAGCCAGGTAGGCTCACCTACCCACCTGCCCAGCTGTCCCTCAGTGGGCTCCAGCACCGTCCTCCGACACAGGGCCCACTGTGGCCCCCACCTAATCCTAACCCACCTAAGACCTTTAGAATGAGTAATGCCCTGGGCCGAGAACCACGGTGGGTGGAAGGGGGAGGGACGAGCATCTTAACTTCCCAGTGCCAAAGTGGGGAGCCTCCTCACCCTCAACACATCCCCCAGGGGCAGAAACTGAGGCCCAGACAGTTCCCTCAGTGCTTGGCTCGGACCCAGTCATTCTGACCCCCAACCCCCAGAGGGACTGCTCCTGAGCCTCGGTTACCTCTGCGCATCACCTGCTGCCCTGGGCCTGTCCACGCCTGTGAAATGAGAGGAGAGGCAGACACCCTAATGATGCTACCCTCTCTGTTCTTCCCTCTTTCTCTCTGCTCCCCTCTCAGGGCCCCCGGCAGGCAGCAGACCTAGCCCTGGGCCAGCAGGACGCCTTCCAGACCAGAGACCAGGCAAGTGTTTGCTTCTTCCTGGCCCAGCCCAAAGGGCACCTCTCCCACTTCCCCAAGGCAGCAAGGAGCCGCCAGGTCTTGTCTCAGCCTGCACAGCCCACTCCCATCCCAAAGCTCTAGATATCCTTACTGAGATGAGATGGGTGGGAATGCCAACATACGTAGCACTGAAGATTACAGATGTCCTGTGTTCAAGTTCCTGCTCCTCACTTCCCAGCTGTGTGACCCGGAGCAAGTCACTTAACTTCTCTAAACCAATTTCCTTATCTATAAGATGGAAGTCATGGGGACCAGCAGTTAGCGTAATGGCTATGTCGCTAGGCTGGACTCCCATGTAGTCTACTGCGGTTCGAGTCCCAGACCCGATGGCTTAAACTCATGCCGGGCGCGTGTGCGTGCGTGCGTGCCCAAGATCCCAAGAGGAGAATGGAGGAGAAGGGATTGCGGCGTGACCATCCCCTCTGGGGGGGGATTTCTCGCTTTCTGTCTCTCTGTCTCTCTCTGTCTGTCTGGCGAGTGCACGCGCCCTATAGCAAAAACCTCTCCAAAAACAAAAAGATGGAAGTCATGCTAGGACCTACCTCTCAGAGTTAAGCAAATTAGCACATAGAAAGCCTTAGCACAGTGGCCAGCAGGTGGCATGGTGGTTGAGAAGCTGGATTCCACATGGCCAACTGCAGTCTGAGTCCTGGACTTGACAGCTCGCTTTCTCACTTGCCCTCTCTCCCTCTCTGTGTCTCTCTGGTGAGCAAATGTACTCTATAGCAAACTTAATAATAATAAGAATAAATTAAATAAGTAAATCTTTTTCAAAGCCTTAGCACATCTCCTGACCTGCATTAAGCCCACGCTAAGTGACAGTGACTATCACATGACTGATATGCGTCGCTGTCATCAGTCTTCGTAGCTGTGACGTGCTCATCGCTTCCTAATACTCAAGGCGCTGCTCTGAGCACTGCACACACATTAGAGCACTTCCCAGAGATCATACCCATACCGCTGGAGTGCTCTCAGATATTATCGTCCCATCTTACAGAGAAGGAAGCTGAGGCACAGAGAAGTCGAGTTCCTTGGCCCAGGCCACACAAGGGAGACTCGAACCCAGGCTGTCTGGCCCCTGGGTCCACACTGCTATCAGGGCCTCACAAGGTCTGCTTTGCTGACATCTGAATCAGCTCACAGGGCTTGTCAAACACAGATCCCAAGGCCCATGCACGGCCCACCGAGTCTGTGGGGTCCAAGGACCTGCATTTGGGGGATTCTCCTGAGCAGCCATTATTATGAAACAAGGACTCAGCTGCTTCTCTCATGCCCTCCCCTTTCTCCCCACAGAGGTGGCTCCAAGCGACCCTGGTTATACAGGGACCACTGCCCCACCCCGGGAGGAGAGAACAGCAGGGGTTGGGGGCTACCCGGCAGTTGGAGCCAGGGAGGACCGAGCGGGCCACCCCCCAGGTCCCTATCCACAAACACCGGCAGCTGCTCCCCAGCCAGCCACGGCCCCTGCCCGCCAGCCACCGCCCCCAGAGGAGGAGGAGGAAGAAGCCAACAGTTACGACTCGGATGAAGCAAGTAGGTGGCACTTAGGGAAGTGGCATCTGGGCATTGTTGCTGCAGGAACCAACCCAGGAAACCAGAAAGACCCCAGGGACAGCCCTGTGGTATGCCAAGCCTAAAAATCACATAAACAAAGTTATCAAAATACAGATGCGTGTTAATTTCACAAAATGCTCTTAGCTCTCTAAAGTACTACCCAGGTTAACCATCCCTGATCTGAAAACTTGAAATGCCCCCAAATTTGGGACTTTTTGAGCACTGACATGACACCCCAAGGGAAAATTCCACACCTGACCTCCTGTGATGGGTCACAGTCAAAATGCTCCAGTGCAAAAATATTGTGTAAAATGACCTTCAGGCTGTGTGAATAAGGCGTAGATAAAGCAAACATGAGTTTTCTGTTTGCACCTGGGTCCCATCCCCACGGTAACTCAGTATGTATATGCAAATATTCCAAACCCCCCCCCCCAAAAAAAAATCTGCCATCTGAAATATTTCTGGTCCCAAGAGCTTGGATTAAGGCACATTCAACCCACATATATATTTTTTATTGTGGCAAACAGCACATAACGTCAAACTTACCATTTTAATCATTGTCAAGGGTGCAAGGTGGCACTAAACTGTTTTCTCAATGTGCAGAGGGGCGGTTCCTCAACAACTTAGGCATTAAATGATCACATGGACCAGCAGGTGGTGTGGTAGTTGAGGTGCTGGACTCCCACATGGCTGACTTTGGTTTGAGTCCCAGATCTGGGGCTTATTTTTCGACTTTCCCTCTCTCTCTTATTCTCTCTCTTTCTGACTCTAGTGAGCATACATACCCTATAGCAAATTTAAAAATAACAATAATAAATAAAACTAAATGATTATTTTTAAAAAATTTATCCTATGACCTGGTGATTTCTCTCTTAAGTGCATGGGTTTATATTTAATAATTTTAAGAACTCTGGGGGACCAGCGATTAGTGTAATAGCTATGTCACTGGACTCCCATGTAGTCAACCATGGTTCGAGTCCTGGACTCGGCAGCTTAAATTCACACCGGGACCGTGTGCCTGCGTGCCCAAGATCCTGAGAGGAGAATGGAGAAGGGATTGTGACATGTTAATCCCCCCTGGGGGGTGATTTCTTGCTCTCTGTCTCTCTCTCTCTCTCTGTCTCTCTCTGTCTTTCTGGTGAACGCATGCGCCCTATAGCAAAAACCTCTCCAAAAAATAAAGAACTCTGAAAGGGCCAGCCTCCTGCAGTCTCAGGGTGCAAGAACGAGGCGAGTCACTCCGCCTGGTTCGCCGCGGGCTGCACCTGCTCTGCACATGCGCCATGTATGTCTGCCGTTGTCACCCTGATTCTTTACCAGAACAGCAGCTACTGCTCCTTCCATCTGCCTTAAATGCCCCCCAGCCCACCCAGCCTCGGCAGCCCCTCCCAGCCTCATATCTGTCTGTCTTCTCAGCTGATCCCATTGGTTTATAATGAATAAACCATCTCCACACTGAACTCTACACTCTCCACTCACTCACGCATCTCCATAGTTGACGGGTATTTATTGAACACATACTAGGTACCTCAAGCTGTTCTAGACACTAGGGATACCATGGCACCAAAGAGAGAGAGAGGAAAGAAAGAAGAGAAAAAAGACATCCTTGGCCGATCTACTTTGGAGAGAGACAATATACCATTGAGTTCATTTCTCATAGACAGAGAACACCATGAAGGAAATAAACTATGCTGAATGTTTGTGAGGGTGTCCTTTTTAGATGGCGTTATCAGGGAAGGCTTCTCCAAGGAAGCAGTAGTTAAGCTGAGATGTGAATAATGAGAAGGTGTCAGCCATGTGAGGATCTAGAGGGAGAGCATTCTGGGCAGAGGAAATAGTGAATGCTAAGATCCACTTACTGCTTCGGCAGACGAGGGAGCACCTTCTATAATACACGCTCTGCACTGCGCACTACGGGATGCAGGCGTCCCAGCCTGTGCCCTCATGGGACACTCCACCTAGCAGAACAGGAAGTCATTAACTAGGCAAGTGCGCAGAGGGTAACTGTCACAGATGTGCTGAGGGCTCTGGAGAAGTGGGGTGGCAGAGGTATCTACCAAGCTGAGGTGTCCAGAGCAGCGACCACGGTCTTCCTCCCTTTCGTAGTCTCAGTGCCCCATCCAGACTGGGTACAGGTAAGTACTCAGGAAATGTCTGTTGAATGACTGAATGAATGTTCTCTCGGTTCCGGTCTCTGCCTCCTCAGCCACCCTGGGTGCCCTGGAATTCAGCCTGCTCTACGACCAGGACAACAGCTCCTTGCAGTGCACCATCATCAAGGCGAAGGTGGGTGGCAGGCCGGGGGACCTCACGTGTTCCAGCATTTCTAGGACGCTCAGGTGGGCTGGTAACCAGGCCTGTCTCCCGGGGTGCCCTGTCCGTCAGTGACAGTGACAGTGATGGGAAAAGGACAATAATTAGGCTTGAAGAATACCTTCCGGCAGGCATGACCCTAGAGGGGTCTGCTTATCCACAGCCCCCTCTTGGGAGCAGAGGCAGCTGCAATTCCAGGGCAGAGGCGAGATCTACCCCAGGCAGGTACGCAGCGTCTCTGGGAGGGACAGTGGCACTGCTGGCTGGGAAGTAACGACAGCCTGGCTTAACAGCTGGCATGGCTGCAGAGCAGCCCCGCCCAGAGCCTGCGGGCTCCCCCTGCTGAAGTGGCTTCAAGCTGGAGGGACTGCAAGCCAGGGGCCTCTGGCTGCAGCTACAAGGACTCAGGAAAGCCACACTGTAGGCTCTGGGGCGTAGCAAGTCAGTGGATCCCAGACCCCGGGGAAAGCTGGGTGATGCTAGTGAAAAGCCCAGAATATTTCTGACTGGGATTGGCCCCATCCCTCGTCTGGTCTGTGTGGAGAAACAAGGAAGGACTTGGGAACCAGAGTGCCTGGGTTCAAATACCCACCCTGCCACTTCCCCACTGTGCAACTGGGGAATTAACTCAACCTCTCTGTGTCTCGGAGTGCCTGTTCATAAGCTGGGGATGGCAGTCATGCCTGTCCTGTAACGATGGGTGACTCGTGAAGGCAAGGTGGCCACACAGTCCTGTTTCTCCATGACTGTCCCCTCTGTGCCTGTTGCTTTGCAGTAATAATTAAGAATTCCATCTTCCTTTTTTTTTTTTTTTTTTTTTTGGAGAGGATTTTGCTATAGGGCGCATGTGCTCACCAGAAGGAGAGAAAAATTAAAAATTCCTTTTTCCTTTTTTTTTTTTTTTTTTGGAGAGGATTTTGCTATAGGGCGCATGTGCTCACCAGAAGGAGAGAGAGACAGAGAGATAGAAAGCGAGAAATCACCCCCTGGGGGGATGGCCACGCCACAATCCCTTCTCCTCCATTCTCCTCTTGGGATCTTGGGCACGCACGCACATCCACCTGACATGAGTTTAAGCCACCAGTTCTGGGACTTGAACCGCGGTTGACTACATGGGAGTCCAGCCACGTAGCCATTATGCCAACTGCTGGTCCTGAGTTCTCTCTTTCTTTAAATGTTCAGTTTGGATGATAGACAAGGTTTCAAATGCTCAGCCCACAAACTCCTAGATCAGCATGTCCCCTGAGCCGAGTTACTTTTCGGCAAGCATTTACCGAGCATCTGTTATGTGTGATAAGCACCTTGATCATTTAAACCCCCCAATACTTTAGTGAGGTAAGTACAGACATTATCTTGTTTCATCTTCATAGAGACTGCTGAGGTGTATGCACCCCATTATACCGATGGGGAAACTGAGGCTTGGAAAAGTAAAGCTGAGGTTAGACAGCTACTAAGGGGTAGCACTGATCTCTGAGGATGGGATCTCTCACTTCATCCTCCAAGAACCCCACGAAGCAGGAGCTGCCATCAGCCCCCTTGAACAGGTCCCAGGAGATCACTGGTCGTAACCCCTGGTATTATTCTTGCTGTGAGACGGGGTGACGGGAGCCTGGAGGGGGGCACCTGCGCCAGCCTGGGCACAGTGTGTCTGATACAGGAGTGTGGGGGCTGCTCCTGTTAAGGCCATCTTAGCTCCTACCCCAAACACACTTCCTGACCCTATAGCTCTCATCTGAGCCACATCCCAGCCCTGTGAGGGGGCTGGACAGAGATCGTGACCCCGTCATATGGAGGAGAAATAGATCTCAGCAGTGAATGCAGGGTTGGGGCAGACTTTCAGAGTCTCTTCCTCCCCTACCCCGACCCTCCAGAGACAGCTCTCCCATCCTCGCATTGACAACCCAACCCTGACAGGGGGGCTTGCTGTGAGCCAGGCACTGGACGCCGAGGTAGCAGTTAAATCCCACCTCCCCATGAAGCAGGGACTGTTCTCATCCCCACCTAGCAGGAGAGAGAACCGAGGCTCAGAGACACTAAGAAATTTACCTAAGGACACAGAGCGAGGAAGTGACAAGGCCAGGTTTGACCCCCCTCCCCCCATCCGCCTGATTCCAGCACACTGCATTCGCCTTCTCTCTTTGAAAGAGGAAGTGCACAGGGTGAACGACAGGCGGGAGAGTTGCTGGGTCTACGCCCTCCCAGGACCTCACGCCGTTGCCTCTACTTCTGCAGGGACTGAAGCCCATGGATTCCAACGGCCTGGCCGATCCCTACGTGAAGTTGCACCTCCTGCCAGGAGCCAGCAAGGTACCATATGGCCTGGGCATCGCAGCACACCGGGTGTGAGGGCCCTGGCAGGCACCCAGGATTCTCCACTCAGAGCCTGAAATAGCCCTCTCTGCCCCAAATCCTTCATGGGTGGCTAAGCCCTTGCAAGGGGTATCGGGTGTGCCAAGAGTCACTCCCTAAGAGGGCCTGGGCCCTGCTCATTTCTGGGGAGCTGCTAAAGGGGAGGAGAGAAGCAGACACCCAGTTATGCTCTTCGCCTGCTCCCTAGTGCTGACCGTGGGCCACAGTGCAGTTCTTCCCAAACCTCATTTCTCAGTAGAAATAACAAGTGTCCCCAGATACACCCGAGGGAAAACATACCCCTGCCTGACAGCTCTCTCCCCTCCACTCACCTACTGAGCATCCCTTTGCTCTGGGTTTAATTCTCTGTCTTTAGATTCACCCCCAGAGAGCATAGCTGGCAACGGAAGTGTGCCCTTTGCTGTGTTAATTTGACAGGGATGTCCTAAAGGCAGAGGTGATGTGTACTTGGCCAGGTGATCTTGGGAAAATGCATGGTAAATACCTCTGCAAGTGTCGAGTGTCCCGTAAGACAAGAGAAGACATCCACTCACTCACTCGCTCATGCCCGATCTTGCTGTAGATCAAGGGCAGTCTTGCCCATTCCACAGCTACACTGTGAGGTATTCCGCTCCTGCTCCTCGTAATTCCCCAGTGACATGCTCCAGCTTGCGCTCCACCCACTCCTAAATCCAAATCTGCTCAACGATTCTAGTATGAGTCATTTACAGGTTAGTACGAATTAGGCTTGTCATCAGGCCACCTCTGCTGGGTATAGTTGCATTTCTAGCCTTCTCTTGATGAATGAAATTAAAAAGAAAAAAATCCTCCCTAAGGAATTTCAAACCCAGAGGATACTCTTGGGGGTAAAGAGGGAACATTTCAATAACCCCTGTCTACATGGGTGACTCTCATTTCTGCCTTTATTGCCTATAAATAAATATATACACACACACACACATATATGTATGTGTGTGTATGTATGTGTGTGTGTATATATATATATATAAAATTTTTTTTTCCTGAAAGGAAGATTTCTCTGCTTTCTTCTCTTTAAATTCAAAGACGTTTCTCATTGTCACACACTGGGATCCCCTTCGGAAGTAACTCACCCAGTGTTGAGCGTTCATCCATTTGCCATCTCCCTAGAGAACAGCTCCATCCCTGAGAACACGCGTTTGGGGACAGCCAAGCCCCGGGACGCCCTATAGGGAAAAGCCACCCACCTACCCCAAATCAGCCCAAAGGCTAGGGCTCCAGGGCTGGCTCCCCATTAAGGCAGTCACCTATCTATCCATGTCTCTGGGTTCTAGTCCAACAAGCTTCGTACAAAAACTCTGCGGAACACCCGGAACCCCGTCTGGAATGAGACCCTCGTCTATCATGGTATCACCGACGAGGACATGCAGAGGAAGACCCTCAGGTACCCGCTGAGTGGGGGCAGAGAGGAGACAAAGAGGATGAGGCTGGGGTCACTGAGCCTCAGCAGACTGCTCCTGGGGCCTGTTCTTTAAAAAGACCCCTATTAGGGAACCAGCAGTTGGCATAATGGCTGTGTCACTGGACTCCCATGTAGTCAACTGCAGTTCGAGTCCCGGACCTGGTGGTTCAAACTCATGCTGGGTGCATGTGCATGCATGCCCAAGATCCCGAGAGGAGAATGAAGGAGAAGGGATTGCGGTGTGGCCATCTCCCTGGGGGTGATTTCTCACTTTCTGTCTCTGTCTCTGTCTTTCTGGCAAGAGCACATGCCCTATAGCAAAAATCTCTCCAAAGGTGGGGAGGGGGGGAAGACCCCTACTAGTATTCTTATTTTGTTTTACTTCTATCTAAATTGTACCTATTTCTGGTCGGAACTTTGGAAGATGCAGATAAGTGAAACTGTTACCACGTTAGTATCTGGGCACCAAGGTTTGGGAGGAGGGCAGCAGGATGGTGTCTATCAGCTCCGACCTGCTGATGGAGACGACTTCCTTCCCCAGCCTTCGGCAGGGTGGGACTCAGCCGTGAGGGGTCCAGGCTTCTAGGATCTGAACACAGTGGAATATTGGTCAACCAATGGTGGTAGCCAAGGAGCGAGGTGACAGTCTAGTCCGTGCCTGTCCCCAGAATGCCTCCCCTGCCTTGGGGAGACAAGTCCTTTCTCCCCCTTGTATGTGCCAGGATAAATGATAATGCCTTGACTGGTCCTTGTGACCATCTAAGGGGCGGTTCTCATGACTGGCCTGTCCTGTCCTCCATCCCACTCAGTGCTATGCGGAGTGGGCCACAAAAGGCAATGTGTGTTATAGGACTCAGGATTCAAATTCTGGCTCTACCTTTCATATGGGAAAAGTTATTTAATGCCTCTGGACCCCAGGCTCCTCTTTAAAATGGAAAACTCAGGGTGGGAGGAAAAAGTAAATGAGAACACATCAGCTAAGTGCCTAGCCTGATTTTGCAGAAGAGGGTGCCCACATGGCCATGAAGCTTATGAAAAGGGGGCTCAACCTCATTAATCAGGAAAGCGTAAATTAAGATGACAATGACAGGCTAGCACCCTCCAGAAAGGCTGAAATTAAAGACCAACAAGGTCAAAGTTGGAAAGAAAGAGTGACCAGAACCTTCATAAACCTCTGGTAGGGGAATAACGGATGAAAGCACTTAAGAAAACTGGCAATTTCTTTCTTTCTTTCTTTCTTTCTTTCTTTCTTTCTTTTTCTTTTTTTTTTTTTTTTTTTTTTTTTAGGGGTTTTTCCTATAGGGGGGGTGCACCCTTTTTCGCTATAGGGTGCGTGCACTCGCCAGACAGACAGAGAGAGACAGAAAGTGAGAAATCACCCCCCCAGGGGGGATGGTCACACCGCAATCCCTTTTCCTCCATTCCCCTCTCGGGATCTTGGGCACACACACACATGTACCCGGCGTGAGTTTTAAGCCACCGGGTCTGGGACGCGAACCGCGGTTAACTACGTGGGAGTCCAGCGACATAGCCATTACACTAACTGCTGGTTCCCGAAAACTGGCAATTTCTACTGAAGCTAAACTTATAGCTAGCCCAGCAATTGCACTCCTAGGCAAATATGCAATAGAAATGGTGCGTGTGTGGGCCAGCAGGTGGCACGGTGGTTAGGGTGTTGGATCCCACATTGGCCAGCTGCACAGTTCAACACCTGGCAGCTTGAAAATCATACCAGGTGTGCATGCACGTATGCCCAAAATCCCAAGAGGAGAATGAAGGAGAAGGGATTGCAGCGTGGCCATCTCCCTTGATGAGGGAGGGGTGATTAATCACTTTTCCTCTCTCTTCCTCTGTCTCTGTCTCTCTCCAATGAGCACACATGTCCTATAATAAAAACTAAAAAAAAAAAAAAAAGAAAAAGTACATGTGTATACCCAAAGAAATGAACATGAATGTTCCACAGCATCTTAACCCCTAATTACTCAAAACTAGAGAGAACCCCAATGCCCATCGGTAGCAGACAATTATGGTATATTTCTACAGTGGAATAATATGCAACACCAAAGTGGATAAATTACTACATACATGGATGAGTCTCACAAAAAGAAAGGTTGATCAAAAGAAGCCAAATATAAGAGAATACATACTGTACGCTCCTGTGTATATGAAGGTCAAAAATAGGACAACGGACTGTGAGACTAGAGGTCTAGACAGCAGTTACCTAAGTGGGAGATGAGTGGGAAGGATCCTGCAGGTGTCTGGGCCCTGGAATATTCTGTCCCTTGCCTGGTGTGCACATGTGCAAACACACAGCACGCCGTGAGCCTGGGGGCTGTCACTCACTGCACGGAAGTCATACTGCAGTGGAGAAGCAGCGGAAGTCGGCCCGGGGTTGATAACAAGGGCACCGTGTGATTCCCACACACAGTACTTCGTCCTTGCCAGCCCTGTGCATAGCTCTCGGCGTGGAGGAGCTAACGTCTGTTTCCTCTCCTCTCCCCACCCCTTACGTCGACGGCAGGATCTCTGTCTGTGACGAGGACAAATTTGGCCACAACGAGTTTATCGGTGAGACCAGATTCTCGCTCAAGAAACTGAAGCCTAACCAGAGGAAGAATTTCAATATATGTCTGGAGCGAGTGATCCCCGTGAGTGACTTTGATGAAGAGGAGAGGAGGCTGGGTGGGGGGAGGCTGCCTTCCTCTGGGTCCGCATCAGGGTAAATAGATCTACAGGGGGCCCGACAGCTGCAGCCGCTGTGAGAGGATGGAGCATTCAGCTCAGAACACTGAGGCCGCATCCTCGCTCTGCCTCACTTCGGATGTCAGGGTCCTCCTTGGTAAAACTGGAAGGCCAGCATGGTGTGGCAGTGTGGCCTGCCTGGGGTCAAGCCCAGCTCTGCCACTTCCTGCCCTGTAGCCTTGGCCAAGGGGCTAAGCGACTTCGTGCCTCCATTTTGTGGTCTATAAAATGGGTGTTCAAACTCCCTGCCTCATAGAAGAGGTATGTTGTTTTTAACAAATAAGTAATCATCACAACTCAGTGTGCTAAAAGCACCTAAAATTAGTTTTATTATAGGAAATAGTACTGTCTTACCCACCTGTCAGTCATGACGTCATAAAGCACAGCAGGTGAATAGGAGACAGGATATCGTACAGGGTAAGACTGTGAGCTCTGGACCCAGGCTCCTGGGGTTTGAATCCTGGCTCAGCCATATAAATGGTATTGTCTGAGCCAAATTATTTCATTTCTCTGGGCCTAAGTTTTCCCATCTGTAAAATGGGATAGTGTTGTAGCAACTTCATGAAGTCTTCTCAGGATTAAATGTGTTAATACACACAACGGGTCAGACCTGCCGTTACCGCCATTAGAGGTAGTGCTTGCCCCTTGAGCAAGATCAAGGTCCCATCTGAGCATCTCTAGCTGGGCTGCACCTGAGTTTTACAGTTCCGGAGCTTTACAGATGAAGATTCGTGAAGATCACCCCCTGGAGATCCTGGCTGGGGGATAGGGTGGGACCCAGCCACCTCTATTTGTAGAGCTAATCCCACCTGCCCCTGCTTTTCATATGGGCCAGTTTGGGCCCAGAGAGGGGAGCGAGTTGCCAGGGTCCCACTGAGAAGCAGTAGCTGTTCTCTCAGCTCCCGCCAGAGCCCAGCTCTCCTGCAACCGCCAGCACCCCTGGTTTCCCGGCAGCCGGCCAGCTCCCTACAGGGAAGCCATGGGGGCCGGGGGCAGGGGGACCCTGCAACATCCTTTCGCCAGATGGCCGGTGGAGGGTGGACTGCCTGGGTGCTGCGCTGTGTGTCTACAGCTCAGGCAAAGACGCAAGACACAAGAGGAGATACAGGAAGAGCCTGGGCGGAATGCCAGGCTCCCGGTAAAGACAGCCCAGAAGGGAGGCAGCTCCTCCGTTTCCTCCAAGGCTTTGCCTCTAACCGCTGCTTCTCCGGGCTTCCTCTCCCTCCCCTCTCAGTAGAGGCCAGTTGGTCAGGACAGTGGCCAGGCGCCCCCCTGGATTTCTAGTTCCTGAGTCTCCCATCTTGCTATGGAGAAGCAGCCAGCCCCGGAGACACGGAGATGGCAGGACAGGCAGAGGTGGGAGTGGCCACAGCACAGTGAT